TTGTTTGATTGATTGATTGATTGATTGATTGATTGATTGATTGATTACAAAACAAAAAAGAAATGAAGTGTGTGTGTTTGTGTATGTGTGTGTGTGTGTGTGTGTGTGTGTGTGTGTGTGCGCGCGCGCATGTGCTCGTATGTGTTTGTGTGCGCGTGTGTGTGTGTGTGTGTGTGTGTGTGTGTGTGTGTATGTGCATGTGTGCGTGTGTGCGTGTGTGCGTGTGTGCATGTGTGTGTGTGTGCGTGTGTGCGCGCATTGTTCATCATGCCGATTTCAAGAGTTAGTTTCAATAATTGACGGGGGGGAATTTTAGGAATATATTTCCGACCCCTAATTTCTTCCGACGACTCAGATGAAAGTGTCGGCTGAATCCTCCATAGTCACTCAACCCAAGGCCCAATCCCTTGTATTTCGGGTGGCCAACTGGTCTGCGGCCGCCCGACACCGTTTCCGGGTGGGGGATACGAAATGAATGAGTTATCTGATGGCCAGGAGAACACCGTGGCAACCATTTGGGCGTCTTCCTCCCGAATTGCCACGCGTTCCTCTGGCGTTACGCCGTCGTCAATGTCTCGAGCGCTTACAGGTTTCTTGGCAATTTCAATCCCGAGCTCGTAAGGCAAGGGATCGTCGCGCCTAGGGGGTTTCAGAGCTTCGCTTCCGGTGCCCTGACGTGACAATCGAACCTCTTTTCCTGTAGAGAGCAAGGAATGGGGTAGTTCCGTAATATCGCAGAAGACTCTCTTATCACTGCACCTGGGGAGGAGCGGGGTGGTAGCTTCATATAGGGTTCAAGGGGGTTCACAAGAATCGGTGATTCAGGATACCTGTACCAATGGTTCCCGCAGGATTAAAATTCGCGTTCGTTGGAGATTCCTCTCCGTAAGGACAAACATTTTCGTCGCTTTTTGTCGGACTGGGTAGCGAATCAGTTGGTGCGCCATTTCTCGGATCATCAAGTCCGCCTCGTCCTCGCTGTCAGAAGTGTTGGGCGACAACTCGGGTTCTTTTCCCTTAGGGTCTGAATTGCTAGGGGGTTCTCTCCAGGTGATTATCCGGAGAGGTTCCCCGCTTCTTGGGAGATTTTTCCGATCCGCAGGTAGCATAGTTCGGAGAGTTAAATGCATCGGGATAACATACGGTTTTCCACCCGTGTTCCGAAAGATGATTGATCGCCTTTCGAAATCCAGGTTGGCTCGTAGCGCGGTGACTCCGGTTAGGGCAGCAATCCCATGAGGACGTCGTATGTGTTTACGTCCAATACTACGACATCCCCCAAGGCGTGAACTTTTCCTAATCGAAACGGGACATTTGTCATCCTTCCCACCACCTTGATCTTTTCTTCGTCAGTAGAGACAAAGTGATCTTCTTCCGCTAACGGGATCAGATCTTTTCTTTCCCTACTCGTTCAACGACCCTCAGAGAGATGGTTAGAACCGCGGCCCCTGAGTCGATGATAGCACTGTACGGAATTCCCCTAACTTCTATATCTCATTCCTCGGATTTCCACGGAATAGCCTTAATGCGCAAAAACTGGTCGTCTTTTTCAATTAGTCCTAACCGTATGGATCCGAGGTGTTGAGGCCATCACGCTTGTCTTCTTGGGAGGGGGTCTTCCCTTTGATGGTTGCTTGCTTGGCAAGAGCAAACCGTTTTCGGTTTGCCTTGCAATGTTGCAACATTCGTTTATTTGCCTTTTCCGATATGGATAGCATCATAATGCTGGGCAAGGGCTGTCTCTTATACACATCTAGATGTGTATAAGAGACAATAATGCCACCACGAGGGTGCAGGTAAAACCGTTTTCGGTTTGCCTTGCAATGTTGCAACATTCATTTATTTGCCTTTTCCGATATGGATAGCATCATAATGCCACCACGAGGGTGCAGGTAAATGAAAGACTGGCGCCTCCCATTTGCCAGGAACGGTTGGCTATGTGACACCCGCGGCCTAGGCCGCGGGCATTTCGGCCGCTGCGGCCGAGATTCTCAGCCGCGGCCGCGGCCGATGAGACCCAGTTCGCCGCCTGGTTTTTCAATATTTTTTCCCCCCCACTAAAAATACGTAAAAATATATATATATATATATATCAGGGTGTAGCCCGTGTAGGGCTTAGAAAACCCTACACTCCTATATATATATTTTTTTGGAATCCGACTTTGTTTAAGATTTTTTAAAAATCAAAAACTAAAATCGATTTAAACAAAATTAAAAATATATATATAAAAAAAAGCAAAAAAAAAAATTTGTCATTTTTTATCATGAGATATATGGTCCCCGACTCGACCTGTGTTTTTTTTTAAAATGAATTTCTGTTTTTGCAGGGAAATATGGTGTTTAAGAAAAAATGCAGCTGCAAAATTTCAAAATAAATAAACAAACAAAGGGTTTGATTGATTGATTGATTGATTTAGTGTGAGTGTGTGTGTGCGTGTGTGTGTGTCTGTGCAATCAGACTCGCTCTCTTCCACACTTTACATGCATGCAAACATGTGCACCACAAACTGGCGACATGCGCCCACTCAGAACACAGAGATATGGTACCGAGAACACAGTTCAGACTCAAGTTCACTTCGAATGGCTATGTGTGTGTGTGTGTGTGTTTGTGCGTGTGTGTGTGTGTAATGTGTGATGTGTGATGTGTGTGTGTGTGTGAGTGTGTGTGTGTGTGTGTGTGTGTGTGTGTGTGTGTGTGTGTGTGTGTGTGCGACCCTCCCCGAGGGCCGCGCAGCTCCCGCGCGGCGGCAATTGCGACCCTCCCCGCTCGTGGGGAGGGTCCTAGTTGCGTGGGCGCGTGCGCGCGAGAGAGAGAGAGAGAGAGAGAGAGAGAGAGAGAGAGAGAGAGAGAGAGAGAGAGAG